GTCTGACAATAATTTAAAGGTAAAAAAAGAGTGATAAAAATAACTAAAATAGAAATGTATTTATACAAGTATTTGATCTTACCTAATATACTTATGGGAATTTTAAATCTGAAATTAATCTTATTTGAAAAGCTGTAGATTTTTTTAGAAACTGTATTTTCGGTCTTGTTTAATTTTTGACTGCATATATAGATAATAGAGAGAGCGATAAAGAATTAAAAGCAATTTTTTTTTGTTTAAAATCATCTTTTAAAGCAAATTTAATTCTTTAATTTTAATTAAATTGCACTTCCTTTCATTTAAAACAAATCAGAATTTAATATTTATGTTATGTTTCTGCTCGCGTTGTAAACAATCATTTTATGGAATAAATTCATATCAGTTTAAAAATCAATAATGTATTCAATTATATAATATCTCATTATTAGTATAGTTTTGTATAACATAAGCATAAATGATTAAATATTATATACTAGTTGAATACCAATTTTCGATGAAAAATAGAACCGTTAGATGAAAAATAGAACCGTTAGATGAAAAATAGAACCGTAGGATAAAAAATAGAACCATTGGAAGAAAAGTAGAACCGTTAGATGAAAAATAGAACCATTTACCGGATGAAAAATAAAACAATCAATAAATCAGAACTAAACAACACTGCAAAATCGCGCATGAAACTGTACGAAAAATATGAACACAAATAATCAAGTTAATAAATCCAAATATTTATTTATTTATTAATATGTGTTCCCCTTCTCAGTCGCTTTACGTTATTGGATTACGCTTTACTTAGTAGTTCATCCCATCAAAATTAAGATTAACTGCATTCGGTATCATCTAGCCTCATGCTGTTGTTCTGGGCAACCATAATATTTAAAATGTACCACAATAATGTTACTTTCTCCCGTATTTATATCTCCCAGAGGCTGCTAAAACCTATTTCCTCAGTACCTAAAAATCTATCCATCTATCTATATTATGTAAAACGCTAATACGTACGTATGTATGTATCAATAAAACCGATGATATTTCTTTTCTCCTGCTGGCAACAGTTTTCATTTTTAATTGATTGGATTCGGCGCGCAAGAGCACGTAGTGAGCAACCAGATAACAATAACCAGAGTGAGCATTATCAGGTTGTTCAATTCAGATTCATGCACTAAAAACATGACAATATTTAATTTAAACTCAATTAGGAATTAATTAATTAATTGAAGTGAGAATGCTTTAAAAGGCCGCTGTTGAATTGATATTTTTCTACTGGGAGCTACCTTAACGTCTAAAAATCGTTTAAGTGTTTGTATTGAATGCATTGAATTTTTTCATATTTCGCGTTTATTTATGCATAGAATTTTCACGCTTTAAAATGCAGAATATTAGTGAAG